CAGTCGGAAAAGAAGAAAGCCTTCAAGCCAAGGTCTCAGCTTCCTATCGTGCGGATTTCCTTCGGCAGGTCGGCAGTTCCGCCTCGAAACAGCTCGAGTACCACGCTGAACTGTCTGCGTGATCATCCATAAAAGCTGACAGCTTCAAAATCGACTTCTTTTATGGTAAGTGATTTGGGATTATTTAGTTCGGTCATCGGGGCCTTCCCGTTCGATCGTGTTCTGGTGGCGATACCGGCGTACGATTCGGCCGGTTCTGGCTCTAATGCCACATTGTCAGAAGTTTTAGACATGGTTATGATCTTGTGAAAGTTTAATGGGGAAGAAGTAGAAGAAAATAGAGAAAATGAAGAACAAATAACGGAGAAAATAGTATACTTTTTTATGGATTTCTGATATGCTTACAATCGATGAAGGAGCCCTTCTTATAGGCTTAAATACATTAAGTAAATTCATTATTCAAGGCAGAATCGAGCTTGTTGGAGTTGCGCGGCCGGAATCGCGTGATGATGATGATCGGCGTCGTCTACGGGATAGATTTGGAAAGTAGAGACGTCAGCTCTGGAGTCTTGTTAGGGTTGGTCAACCCTAATTCCACTTGTTCTTCATTTTTCCTGTTCTGCCCTTTTGTGTGCATATTTCTTTTTTTACCCTTCTTTCTGTAATAAACCCTAAAAGGTTTCCTGACACATAGATCGACACTTCATATAAGAGAAGATTGAAGTTATTTAGCTAGCATACAAGCTTACAAGGTTCCAGATTGTAGACATACTCACTAAAACTCTTCCCATAACTACTTCGAACATTTGAGTCACAAGTTGTGCATGTACAATATCTAGAGTCCAGCTTGAGGAGTGTAGAATCCTTATTCAAGTCAGTAACTTAGGGATTATGGTAATCGGTGTTATCATCCCAGATCTTTTGGAATATTATCTTTTCGAATCCAGGATATTATCTTTCCTTGTCTAGTGTAGGATTTTTCTCCGATTAGATCAACTTATGGCCTGATATGTAGCTAGATTCTTACTATATATTATGCAGATTCTTCATTCAATAATAATAAGAAGAAAACCTAGAATATCTTCGTGGTTTCTTCAATGTCTCTTCTTGGTCTTCTTCAAGTTGTAAATGCACCTTGGAAGTCCTGATCGTAATCTAATCCTTGCCATAACAGAATGAGATCAGAAGAATATTTTCCTCCCCTCATTTTCCATTGTTTCATTTCACAAAATTTTTCCCTTAGCTCATTTCTTGAGCAACATTGCCCAATTGAGAATAAGACGTAACAGGCAGCATTCTAAATCTGTTGAGCATACCGAGGAGAAGATAACCACAAACAATCTGTTGCTGCATGAAATTAGTCAGCCAATACATGATAAGGGAATTTTTGCATTTCCATCAACTAAGATATTTGCTTGAGGCTGCTGAGTTCTTTTGGTCTCTGGGTATGTAGCCTTGTAATCCTTGAGACTAACTAAATATATAACAGATAATATCAGGACCAAGCAAGGTATTTTGTCTGATCTAATTTAATAGGACTAATTTAGAGTGAAGATTACCAATGAAGAATCCAACTATACTGCCACCACTCTATTCAACAGTGACAGTTAACTTCTCTTAGAGATGTTTGAATCACAGGACTACAAGCTACAATTCTAAAACTATGAAAGCCCTGCCATGTTGTGGGGTTGAAATCCTAGAGTATGCAGCTCAAATAACCAAGGGATCATGTTCTGATGCCCTGAAGATTTAGAAATCAGAATAATTGCCCAAAAAGATTTAGACTTGCCTACACCCACGACACTGTTTATAATCACACATTTCAATAAAGCTTTCTATAAATTGCCCTCTGTCAACCACAGTACATAATTAATTTCCAATATTACATAATTAACCCCAAACATTCAATTAATATACGATTGTCAGCAATCATAAATTATTATTCTTCAAGTATTCCATGGAAATGAAAGGAATAATACATGGTTTAATTTATAATTGTTACTTGAACTCTTATATAAACAAATACTTACTGAAGGGTAAGATTTCAGAACAGAAGTAATTGCCATGTACGCAAAAGCCAGGAAGCAGGGCCGATGATTTAACCGTGTTGCTAATGGAAAAATCATGAACAGAATATTTACATGGAAAACTATCAGAAAAAAGCTTCTGAAAAAATCGAAAACTTCAGCAAAGAAGTACCTGCAACAAAATATCAAGCAAATGAATGCACAAGTGCAAGACCTCAAAATTAGAAGATATCTATGTACAAGATAACTTGGGCTCACCACAAAACGCCTACATTTGGTGACAGATCTTCAATAGTGAGAATGAACCCATACGTCCTACAAAAACCAGTCCAACATATAAGTCACATTCTACTGCAAAAGATTTTAGAGAAGTGCAGTGTTATTTACTTGTCTATCTTCATATCCATTGAACATTAAAAATAAAAAAGAAACAAAAATATCTACATCAACACTAAACTAATGTTATTCAATTAATACAAAATCATATGTACTTGCCAAAGCATAATCCCGAGAAGACAAGAGCTCTAATAGCCAACAACATTACAGTTTTATGCATACCTGTTGATTTTTGAAGAAAAAATAATAATAATTTTATTTCTCACCCTTTAACTTATTATATTTAAAGTATTTATAGACTTCGTATCTTATTGATAGGGAAATTCTTATTTTACTAAATTTCTAATAATATGAGATTATTATTATCATAAAATCCTAATTATATAATATTAAATAATTAGATAATAAACTAAAATAACAAAATAATAAAATATGTTATTCAATACTCCCCCCACAAGTTGGTGCAAGGATATTGCACCAACTTACAAATCAAATTCTAAAGAGTCATCCTGCAGTTTACCAATATCAAATGATGTCCAAAAGATGCTGCAAACTGGAACCAGATCTGTCAGACAGCAACTCGTCTCGACTCAAAACGACTCAGTCTGACTTGAAACGGCTTATTCCGATTCAAAACGGCTTGACCCAGCTCAAAATAGCTTGAGCTTGGGTTCAGGCTTGCCTTCAAAACGGCTCGAACTTGACTCTAAAATGGCTCGACCCGGCTCAAAACAGCTCAATACGGCTCAAAAGAACTCGGGCACGACTCTAAAACGGCTCGGGCTCCATCGAAGTATCACAAGAGCTCTCACACGTTGCCACAGACCGACGGTTGTCCGATCACCAAGCAACTACATTCTGCCACCCACCACCGCCAGAAACTGCAACGCACCACTACCAAAAACACCACCCCCATAACCATCAGAGTCTCACGCGTTTCTGCCCGACTACCACGCGCCGCCGCCAGAAACAACACGCATCACAGAGAACTTACGGGGAATCAGCACAAAAGCTCCCAACTCGTCAGATCCAGCACAGATATGGTAAGAACACTAGAAATCGCCTTCGCAGAAAAATGGGCCGCCGTGGCTGGTTCTTCTCCAGCGAGTTCTGCTGCACGCAGAACCGATCGCGCATTGATCTATGCTCCTCTTCGCGGCCGCATAGTCACGTGACACGTATCTACATGTTTTCTATTCGTCAGCCTCTCTGTTCAAATCCGACATCGCTTCCTCTTTCTTCACAGCTTAACGCGGCCTCCAATCGCACAAATCTAAGCAAATCGCTTGTCGTGCGATTTCTTTTCGGCCAATTGCGACCTTTCGTTTTCAGGATTCATATGGTCGTGCTTGGACAGATCTCCCCGCGTGGCTTTTCTGGTTTCACCAGTCGCCACTGCCACCGCGCATTGTGGTTCGATTTGCCGCCCGCCGCCTCTATTTCTCCTTCAGGTGGCGGTTGAGGGTGACGAGAAGAATCATACATGTTTTTCTATGGCTTTCTATCTCTAACCTGAGTTGAGAGGAGGCCGGTGATGAATCTCCGACGTTGTTTAGGGTGGTGATAAAAGTAGAGTTAGATAAATAAGTACTACCCCAGTCTATTGTGTTATTTTAAGGTTTGAATAAAACTCTGAAATCTTTATTTGGCTCCGATACCATGTTGATTTTTGGAGAAAAAATAATAATTTTATTTCTCACCTTTTAGTTTGTACACTTAAAGTATTTATAAAATTTCTATTCTAATGATAGAAAAATTCTTATTTTACTAGACTTCCAATAATATGAGATTATTATTTTCATAAAATCTTAATTATAAGGTACTAAATAATTATACAATAAAATAAAATAATAAAATATGCTACTCAATAACTTTACGCCATAATAATAGTAAGCCATCCCTTAAAAATATCAAGAAGTTATACTATTTGATGGTGTCAATTCTCGTATCACTCACACGGCTAGATGCTATCAAATATTATTGAGAAGAAAAAATAAGCATATATTACCAAAATTGGGTTGAGCCCTCAACGTTTTGGCTTCAGAGCTCCCTTAA